CCAGCTCCAGGTTGAGCTGTTGTTCAGCATCTTAGCTGTAGAGGGCAGTGTCACTGGCCCTCATATGTGGGATCCAAACCAGGGCCCTCTGGCATCCCAAGCCAGCTCTTAACCAATGCGCCACTCGGCCGGCCCCTTCCTCTAATGTTAACAGAAGAAACATGATGCATTGTAAAAAAATAAGACGTTAACTAAGCTGCATACTTTATTAGGATTTCACCAGTTTTTCCACTACTATCCTCTCTTTCTGTTCCAAGATCGAATCCAGGCTACCATATTGCATTTAGTCATCATGCCCTCTTGGAGTCTCCGCTGGCCTGTGAAAGTTTCTTGGTCTTGCCTTGTTTTATGACCATGACAGTTTTGAAGAGCACTGGTTAGATATTTTGTAGAATGTAACTCAACTTGGGTTTGTCTGATGTGTTCTTGTGAGTAGACTTGAGGTGATAGAGTTTTTGGGAGAAGACTACATTAGAGATGAGCCCTTTTGGTTGCACTGTATCGGGGGGCACATGATATCAACATGACTTAGCACTGGTGATGTTGACCTTGATCATCTGGTTACATGGGGTCTGCCAGGTTTCTCTGCTATGAAGTTTCTCTTTCTACTCTCTATTCTTTAGAAGCGAGTCACTAAGACCAGCTCACACTCAAGAGGAGGGGAATTAAGCTCTACCTCCTGGAGTGGGGAGTATCTACATATATTATTTGGAATTCTCCTATAAGGAAGATCAGGGATAGAACATTTTTGACTCAACAGATCTGCAAGAGTCCAAATGTTTGACAACAAACTGTTGGCAAGACTATATGGGAAATAGGCACTCTCATATTACTGGTAGGAGTGAAAACGGAACAATCCCCATGGAGGGGAATTTGGAAATAGCTGGTAAAACTAAAAATCTATATACCCTCTGACCCCCAGTTCTCCTTCTGGGAATTTAATGGACTGATATGCTTGTACATGTAAAAAACATTATTCCCTGCACCACTGTGTATAATAGCAAAGGCCAAGAAACAACTTAGAAGGATCAGGGAAATTCTGTTTTTAAAAAAGACTAATGAGCTCTCCTCCCTCCGCCCAAGATACCAAAAGGAAAGATGGCTAAGGGAAAGAAGGTGGCGCCGGTCCCTGCTGTCATAAACAAGGAGGCTAAGACGGTGGTAAACCTCCCATTTTGAGAAAAGGCCCAAGAGCTTTGGCATTGGACAGGACAGCTAGGCCAAAGGGACCTCACCTGCTTTGTCAAACGGCCCTGTTACATTCCGCTGCAGCAGCAAAGGGCTATTCTCTGTAAGCACCCAAAAGTGCCTCCTGCGATTAACCAGTTCACCCAGGCCTTGGAACGCCAGACAGTTACTCAAGTGCTTAAGCTGACCCCCAAGTACAGACCATAGACAAAGCAAGAGAAGCAGAGACGGTTGGCTTGGCCCAAGAAAAAAAAAACAAACTGCTGGCAAAGGGATGTCCCCACCAAGAGGCCACCTGTCCTTCAAGTAGGGGTTAATACTGTCACCTCTTTGGTGGAGAACAAGCTCAGCTGGTAGTGATTGCACATGATGAGGATCCCACTGGGCCGGCTGTCTTCCTGCATGCCCTGTGCCGTAAGATGGGGGTTCCCTACTGCATTATCAAGGGGAAGGCCAGGCTGGGGTGTCTAGGCCACAGGAAGACCTGCACCACCGTCGCCTGCACACAGGTTACCTCAGAAGGCAAAGGAGCACTGGCTAAGCTGGTGGAAGCTATCTGGCTTAATCATAACAACAGGTATCATGAGATCTGCTGTCACTGGGGAGGCAACGTCCTGGGCCCCAAATCCGTGGCTCACAGTGCCAAGCGGGAAAAGGCAAAGGCTAAAGAACTGGCCACCAAATTGGGCTGAATGGACACCATTGAGTTATCTGTACATAAAA